GGCAGATAAATTTATAATAACTGTTTGTGAGGCCTTTTGATTATAGTTATGAATAACAGTCAATGCTGCAATCTAGTTTTGTTCTATTGATGCATCATCACATGGCCATCATTCTTCCCATATCTTCACAAATAATCAGAAAAAGATCTTCACAAGTTTTATATGTAGCAGTAGTTACTAGTGTGCTTAAGTTGTGAGAGACATTGTGTGGGCTATTTTTCTTTCGAGAAGGAAGCCTATTTAGGTTGATCTAGATTTATAGCTATTGATGTTTTGATATTTTGTGCTTGTATAGGGGAAGTTTAATTTAGGAAAAACTATATGAAAAGATTGGCTTCAATAAAGAGATCTTATCAAGAGGAAGAATTTGCAGAGCTTACTGTAGCTAAACATCGACCATTCAGGTAAGATGCCTGATTGATTTGCTGAGGATACAGATGCGTGTATTTTTTGGAAACAAAAAAGGGGAAGCATCGACTTTGATTCCACGATCCATATCTTTCATCAAAATTTGACAATAAAATTTTTGTATTGTGGGTTTTATTTTGCTATTATTTATACCTTCACAGTGATGTCTTCAAAGGTCAATTCAATCCCCTAATTTCTCGACTGTATTTTCCTGTTAGGCGTTGTTTCAGGGCCTGTTTGCTGCTGCCTCTTGTAAAAATGAAAACTTATAATCACAAAGCAAAAAAGCTAAAAGCACCTCTTCCCTCCTTCCCAATTATCAGCTCTTTTTTTTAGCTATTTTCAGCTATTTTGCCTAAAAAGCTGTAAGCAGAAGCGCCAAACCAACACATGGCACAAATTTCAAATAAAAAAAGCTATATAGCAGCTCCATAAGTTGCACTTGTGATTTTGTGAATATAATCAAATTTGTCTTTGTAGCCCTGATGAAGTTAGAACTCTTTGCCAAGTCTGCTCAGAATGCATACAAACAGTTTAGAGACAAGGCGGCAATATCAAGATCAATGACTGTACGGTAGTCAATTAACGTATACTAATGGAGTGCAGTACTTTTTTCAATCGCTTCATCACTGTCCAATCATTATGTTGCAAGCAGATAAGATGGAGGAGGTGGCACAGGGAGAGTGTGAGGACTGGTAAAGAAGCAGTTTCAGAGGTTTGTGATGCTATTGGTGGGTTTTTTCTCATGCTGTTGCTATAGCAAAGCAGAAGGCTAATATATCCCCTGGGTAGAGAGGTTGGTTAAAAAACTCCTTTTAGTTTACCCTTTTACAGGTTTTAATAAAAATGGGTGTTTTCGTGAAATATTGGTTCATTCTGCTAGTCTAGTGGAAATTTTGTAATGTTACACTTACCCTAAAGAGATATCACAACATTCCTTTACATTTTGATCTCTATTTCCGGAATTTCTTATGGACTAATGGACCCTGTGTACACATGATATGCTTACATGTATAACATTGAAGTTGATAGTTTGTCAATTCAATTCTTTGTCTTGTATAACATTGAAGTTGCTAGTTTGTCGATTTCAATTTTTTTTACATCTATTGAGGCTTGATTCTAATAGGTATCCTGAATGTTAAGGTTACTTTTGTTGAGCTATCAAGACCGTCGCCAACCCTGCCAGAAATCTTAGTTGGCATTGGTAACACTGTGGTTGGGGTGGATAGGACATTGCAAGAATTACTGAAGACTTGGCATCTTTTGATGAATTCAAGCCCGCGATGGATGGAGTCATGTTTCAGAAAACTGGATTGGTGTTTCAAATTCCGGTCCTCTCTTCACTTTGATTAAAGACTACTTGAGTTTCCTCTGACTCTCTTATATCTGTCTATCCATGTCTTAAATTTTATTTTATTTTATTTTTTTGGTAAAATGTGGAAGAGGATGAGCCACTTGTCTGCTTACTGTAAAGTTACTATAATTTTTGTCCTTTATTTCTCTTTTTCATTATCACTTTTTGTTGAGAGAGCTACATGTTATTTGTTATTGTTAATCTGTAGTAGATTATTTACAAATATCAAACTATACTAAACTGGCAATAATTTTAGCACCACACAAACCTCCATCAAACACCATAAAAAAAAATTACTCTAAAATAGGTAAAAAATAAATTAGGAAAAGAGTTTCATTTAATATCATTTAATGATGTTTAACACTAAGTGATAAATTGAATTAATCCTATTGGTTAGCAAAACATTTTAAGTTAGGGGTTAATATAATACTAATGTTTTTTTCAATTCTTGTTATTAGTGGACGCAGTTAATCTTTCAATCTGACCTAGTAATAGATGCAGTTTAAACATTTGGTGATAAAATTGAAACTTTTTCTTTTTTTTTTTTTTTTTGAAAATCGAATGACAAAATTTAAAATATTGGCGATCAAATTGAAAACACTTTTATACATTGGATTGGGGATAGAATTGACATGATTTAAACCAAAATGATATAAAGCTCATAAAATTATTGATACCTACTGAAAAGATCTTTCATAAAATAGTCTACTCGAAAATATATAGAAAGTGGATAAAAAAAAAACTTTAAAGTCAAAGTGAAAAAATGGACAAACTTAAAGGAGGCAAAACTATAATTTACCCATATAGAAAACTCTCTAAAAATCTTATTAAAAGTACAAAAAATTAAATAGATTTGATTGTAAATATAGTAACACTTGGACATCTAATGATATTTGAACGTGTATATTTCATTAAAGAGTTTAGTTTTCGTTATTTTTTTTCTTAAATTTTTTATCTTTCACTTTCTTAATCCACGTATAATAGTTTATTCTTCTATTTATATAATTCTACTTCAAGCTTCACCCAATTATTGATTCAAATCAAAATTTGACAGAAAAATAATTTTCTTAATATTTTTATCTTTCACTTTCTCAATCCGCGTATAATAGTTTATTCTTCTATAATTTTATAAAATTCTACTTCAAGCTTCACCCAATTATTGATTCAAATCAAAATTTGACAGAAAAATAACTTACTACACGAGCAAATCATTGAACCATTACAGGACGTGAGAACACAAAAGTACAAACATCATGTTTATTCAAATTTTAATTGAAATATAAAATACACTAAACCCTTCAAATTTTAATTGAAATATTAAACGCACTAAACCCTAGCCAAACCAAATCAAAAAACCAAAACCAAATCAAATAAAAAATAACTTCCTTGGATTTTTTCTTTTCTTCTAGATTTTTTCTTGTTTTGATAGAATTCATTTGTTGAATATGGCCCATCAAAAAACCAAACCAAACCAGATCAAAGCTAAGTTTTATGTCCTTCAAGTGTGTTTGGCTACACGACGAAATCATTTTTTCTATCAATGATTTTATGCTTAGTTAAATAAGTAAATTCATACGAGTCACAATATATGTCAATATGTCACATACTCTTCCACTTGAACCAATATATTTCGATCCTATGAATCATAGCACCCCAACCACATCATGCTTATTAATAATCGAACTTAAGAAACAAAAATGCTCACTACTGTTTTTCCATCACTAAATTGCATTAATAATATCGCTTTTGGGATCAAATGCACATTCTTGTGAACAGTTGATGAGATCTCTTAGTTTCCACAATTTTATCATACAGTGAATTGAAGAGGAAAAGTAAACAATTGAATTTCAGATTCCAGATCCTGAAAATTTTGCAAATGGGAGCTCCTGCGCAATTCATCATATGCTAGCTCTTAACCATTCACTATCAATGAGCACAATCAAAAAAAATGAAACTATTCTAATAATTGATGGAACGAAGTAATTCCAATAAACAAAAGCCATTTTTACAAACAGTATAAAACTCCCATCCTATGCATGCAAGTTTAAGTACTATTAGTCCTGCATTAAGAGTGGCCAAAAACATATATAAAATATTATCGGTGATACTACATACACTAATTAATGTACTACTAGTATACTTAACACTAGTTATGATATTATTATTGCTCACATATATTAATCACGTTACAAATACCAAAATCCTCCTAAATTATGTCATATCAATCAATTGCTATACTAATTAGTACACTAATTGATGCATATAATATTATTCAAATATTATATTTATATGTGACCAAGCAGCTAATAATAATTAAAAAATTAATATCCATAAAAACGCAACAGGATTAGCATTGGATTTCACAGTGGTGGAGGGCAATTGCAGATGGAAATGGCAAGCAATGAAAGAGCTAATTAACCATCAGGAAATGAGCTTGAGGCAAGAGGAGGGAAAGAGACGTGTGATGGCCACAAAGAAAGCGGTAACTCCACAGAGTAGTCACCGTGCTCAAGCAGCGGCCTGGTCTTGGGTAGTTGGCAACGATGTATTTAGCAACAACGAGAAAGCGAGTGCAAACACCATTACAGACACAGCAATTGGAAGCTTATAGGGTAGTGTTTACGAGTTCTGGACGGATCGGAAGCCGATTTCAAAAGCTGCTGCGAGGCAGAACGCTACACACTAGCTTCGGCAATTCTAGGTCTTGTTGCTGAGCATTGCGTGGAATTACTGATTCAGCGCCGGGGCATCAAGAGGAGGAGGAGCTTGGGGGCTAGCGATTCAGAACGCTCGGCGGCGTCATCAAGAGGGATGGAAACTTGAACTACTGCTTCAGGCAGCGGCAGCGGCGGAACATGACGAGCAGATTTCAGCTGCGGACCGCACAACTTGAATAACTGTTTCAGACAGATTTCATTTCCGACGCTTTCACAAAATGCATACGGTGCTGGCGTGGATTAGATTTGTAATGCGAGGAGGTATATACACCAAAGCTGACTCCAAGAAGGTATATAAAGCCTACGACGAGGAATAGATAGACGGTGTGGATTAGATTTGAAAAGACGGGTGTGATTAGATTTTCCAAAGAATGATAGAGACTTAAGGGCCTTTTAGTCTCATTCAGGGTAAAAAACAAATATCTCGTTTTTTTTTTTTTTTTTTTTTTTTGTAATAGGGTGTTGAATTGAGTTTTGAAAGTTTGATTTACATGTGAAGTAAGAAAATTTATTTGGTTATGAAGTTTTGAAAAAAGTTTTCAAAATTTTAATTCAAGTTGTTATAACTCATAAAACACACTACTTTTACCTATTGAAAATCTTAATCAACATCCATAACGAACTCTTTAAAATTCAATTAAAAAAATTTATTATTAACAGAAAATAACATTAATCAATTTTTTAATTGAAAATTACAAAGAAAATAATTTTTTTTTTCAAATAAATATTCAAAAATTAAATCATAAATATTTAAATAATTTAAATAATCTAAAAAATTTAATAAGGTAAAAAATTAAAATAAATATTCAAAAAATTAAATTGTAAAAATTTAAATAATTTAAATATTCAAAAAAATTTAAATAATTTAAAATGTTAATATTTTAAATTTAAAAACAACTCTACACTCAATCGTAATCAAACATATAAAACAAAACTCAATTAAGAAATTATTTTTAAAACTCATAACCAACACATAACTCGAAACTCCATACTACTTTCACAACTCTACACTCAAATGGTAACCAAATACATAACAACAAAATTAAAATATTTAAAAATAAATAGAGTTTGAATTTATTTTTATAAATATTTTAATTTTAAAAATTAAAATCGTAATATTTTGAAATTAAAAATATTTAAAAAATTTCAAAAATTAAAAAATTAAAAAAATCGTAACATATTTAAATATTAAAATATTTAAAATCTTAACAAATTTAAAATATTTTAAAATATTTAAATATTTAAAATATTTAAAAAATTAAAATATTGGTTTGAATTAAGTTTTGAAATGGGTTTTGAATTATGTATTTGGTTATGATTTTGAAAAGTATGATTATGTTTGAATTGATTTTGAGAAATGGATGTAGAATTATGTTTTGAAAACTCAAAAATAATACACTTAAATCAATAGATAAAACTATAATTCGAAACTCTTACAACGGGAGCATTGATTTTCCTTTATGTATAGTCTCAAAAGTTGCATGTTTTAAAATTATATCCAAGATTCTGCAAAACCCTAGAATAGAACCAACAACATGCCTCTCCCAAACTAGTAGTGAATCATACATGAACATAATATGAACCACTATCAAAAGAAAAAACCTTGAATTCACAGAGCCCAAAGTTGTAAGCACTATGTTGCAGCCTTTATATTTTTAGAGCCAAGACAGAAAACAACCATGTCCAATGGAACTTTAACCCTGTAACTTCCTCTGAGGGAGTGGAAAAAGACACCACTCAGCTGAGAGCTGGTGGTTGTTGTGTTTCTTCTCAACTCAAACAAATTCAAAAGTGGGAGATAGGTGCACTAAAAGGATAAGTTAGCAAAAATCCTACTTTTATTCACAGAGACAATATCAGTAAGAAAATAACATGAAAATATGTCCCACAATTGGTCCTTGTTCCTAACCAGTGCAGAGTCAAAAAAATTAATTAGAGGGGGCATTTTATTAATTCAATATCGAAAATTTTTACAAAAACATTTTACGCAAGTTTTTACGATTGATTTCGAGAAATACCAAAAAATAATATTATTTATAACTACTGTATCATGAACAATATAAAAAAATATGGATATAAGTCTTAAAATAAATTTAGGGTAAATTACAAATACACCCTCTGATGTTTGATTAAATATGAATCACCCCCTGTGATGTTGGAAATTACATCCACCCCTCTGAGGTTTCTAATTTCATAACAAATAGCTCATTTAATTAATGAATCATCAAGTCAATTAACAGTTTTTAAATGATATTAGAAATATATTTCATTAATAATTTAGGTAATTTTATAATTGTATAGAAGATCAATTGTGAATTTCATTTTTTTAGTAATTCTGTTAAATAAAAAATACTAACAAAGAGGTATTGTAATTGTAAAACCCAAGTTGTGTGTAGGATTATTTTTATTGGATAGATTAGTAATTAAATTAATTTATATGGGTCATTTATTAATATCAAAGAATTAGTTATGAGATGGCATTATATTTCCTATTACTTAGATGCGTAATTCTTTGTAACTTTGAGAATTAGGTTAATAAGCCCACCTGTTGTGGCTTTAGTCTTGGAAAACAAACAAAACAAAGGCTGAAATTGCTACATAGGCGGCTACGGTTTGAGAGGTAAAAGAAAAAAGAAAAGATAAGAGAAGAGAGTTCAAGTAAGGCTGCAATGGGATTGAGGCAGCAAGTTGGTGATTTTGAACACCCATTGGTTAAGGTAAAATCTGTCTTTACTGTTAATTATTAAGTTTATGTTGAGGAATTTACAATCAATGCATTAAGGGGATTTGAAGATCCATAGGTGCCTACTTAGATTTTAGAATTGGGTGCAATGTGTAAGTGTAACTTTGGGTGGGTAATAGAAACAATGGAGTTTGTATCTCTGTTGGAAAATTTATAAAGAGGTAGTTGTGAATTGAAATAGACTCCATTTTGAATGAAAGGGTGTAACCTTTTATGGTGTCTTTTGTTTTAAAGGAAGGGTCAAACTCCATTTGATGAAAGGGTGTCAAACCTTTCATGGTGTCTCTTTTTTTAAAGGAAGGGGTATGTCCCTTCTTCATACTTTTCTATTCAAATTGAATAGGTGCCAACAAAGCTCATATAAAAGCAGCCCTATTCCAATTTTGAGGGTCCAAAAATTTATTTTCCTTGCTTCATTTTGCTCTCTTGCGTCCTTTATTCTTCATATTATTTAAAAAAAAAATTCAGGAGTTAATAACACAAGGTTCTGGTTCGTCGAACAAAATTTGTTTGAAGTGCTACTACAAATTTGTGAAGATCATTGTAATCCTGGGAGATAGACGCCACATAACCGTAAGCACCGTAGCGGGGCGAATCTGTCTTAAGGATGAAGTGTCACACACTCGCTTGGTCTTAATTTTATTTCGGTTCGATAAATAAATCCGGTTTTATGTTATTTATTTATTTGTTTGAATTCATTTCAAGTTATTTTATATACACAGAAGATTGTTCCAACAATCTTAGATAGACTCGAATTATTCTGTTTACAGAATTTTTTCGTTTGTTCCCTTTTTCATTCTTCGTAAATAATTTCGGAAGAAATATTTTCTGTGAATTTACAAAATATTTCTTGTTGGAAAAATAAATAGTGATTATATGCTATTTGAGACAGATAATAGTAATATACTGTCTCTTTTCTTTGACAACAAAACTGATACTGGTGTCATTAACAATTCAGAATATATATTTTTGTGAAATTTTTTTCAGAAATTAATTTTGGGTTTTAGAAATTTATTTTTTGAGTTTCATTAATTAAAATTCTGTTTTCAGTATTTTAATTATTGAAGTGTTACTGAAATTAATTTTCTGTGTGGAATTAATTTGGTTAAATAAAATTTTATTTTTTTCCAATTAATTTAAAAATAAAAGTTATTTTCTTATTTCTTTTATTTTAACGAATTTAATTTCTTGTGTGGAATTATTTGGTTAAATAAAATTTTATTTTATTTCCAAATTAATTGAAAAATAAAAGTTATAGTTTTATTTCTTTTTATTTACAGAATTTAATTTTCTATGTAGAATTAATTTGTTTAATAAAATTTTATTTATTTTCAAATTAATTGGAAAATAAAAGTTACATTATTGTTTCTTTTATTTTTCAGAATTTAATTCTGTGAATTTGGTTTAATTTTCTGTATAGTGTAAATTCTAATTATAATTTTGTTTTATATATTAGAATTGATGGCTACTGAAACTAATGCCCAAACAAGTACTACTGTGGTGGCTGCAATGACACCAACCCCCTCTCCCTGTTGGTGACAGTGCAATAAATCATGGAGAAAAGCCAAAGAAGTTCTTAAGACTGACTTTAAAAGATGCAACAGAAAATGTTGTTCTATCTTTACAACTCTGAACCTGGCTCGTGTAGCCAAACACACTTGAATGGGACATAAAACTTAGCTTTGATCTGGTTTGGTTTGGTTTTTTGATGGGCCATATTCAACAAATGAATTCTATCAAAACAAGAAAAAATCTAGAAGAAAAGGAAAAAATCCAAGGAAGTTATTTTTTATTTGATTTGGTTTGGTTTTTTGATTTGGTTTGGCTAGGGTTTAGTGCGTTTAATATTTCAATTAAAATTTGAAGGGTTTAGTGTATTTTATATTTCAATTAAAATTTGAATAAACATGATGTTTGTACTTTTGTGTTCTCACGTCCTGTAATGGTTCAATGATTTGCTCGTGTAGTAAGTTATTTTTCTGTCAAATTTTGATTTGAATCAATAATTGGGTGAAGCTTGAAGTAGAATTTTATAAAATTATAGAAGAATAAACTATTATACGCGGATTGAGAAAGTGAAAGATAAAAAATTTAAGAAAAAGTTATTTTTCTGTCAAATTTTGATTTGAATCAATAATTGGGTGAAGCTTGAAGTAGAATTTTATAAAATTATAGAAGAATAAACTATTATACGTGGATTGAGAAAGTGAAAGATAAAAAATTTAAGAAAAAAAATAACGAAAACTAAAACTCTTAATGAAATATACACGTTCAAATATCATTAGATGTCCAAGTGTTACTATATTTTTTACAATCAAATCTATTTAATTTTTTGTACTTTTAATAAGATTTTTAGTGAGAGTTTTCTATATGACTAAATTATACTTTGTCCCTTTTAAGTTTGGTCACTTTTTTTATTTTGGCCCTTAAAGTTTATTTTTTCCCCTTTCTATATTATTCGAGTAGACTATTTTATGAAAGATCTTTTCAGTAGGTATCATAATTTTATGAGCTTTATATCATTTTGGTTTAAATCATGTCAATTCTATCCCCAATCCAATGTATAAAAGTGTTTCAATTTGATCGCCAATATTTAAATTTTGTCAATTTGATTTTCAAAAAAAAAAAAAAAAAGAAAAAGTTTCAATTTAATCACCAAATGTTTAAACTGCATCTATTACTAGAGTCAGATTGAAAGATTAAACTGCGTCCACTAATAACAAGAATTGAAAAAAAACATTAGTATTATATAACCACCCTAAGCTTAAAATGTTTTGCTAACCAACTAGGATTAATTCAATTTATCACTTAGTGTTAAACATCATTAAATGATATTAAATGAAACTCTTTCCTAATTTATTTCTTCCTATTTTAGAGTAATTTTTCTTTTATTGGTGTTTGATGGGAGGTTTGTGGTGCTAAATTATTGCCGAGTTTAGTATAGTTTGATATTTGTAAATAATCTACTACAGATTAACAATAAACAAATAACATGTAGCTCTCTCACAAAAAGTGATAATGAAAAAGGAGAAATAAAGGACAAAATTATAGTAACATTTACAGTAAGCAGACAAGTGGCTCATCTCTTCCACATTTTTACCAAAAAAATAAAATAAAATAAAATTTAGACGATGGATAGACAGATATAAGAGGTCAGAGGAACTCAAGTAGTCTTTAATCAAAGTGAAGAGAGGACCGGAATTTGAAACACCATCCAGTTTCTGAAACATGACTCCATCCATCCGGGCTTGAATTTCATCAAAAGATGCCAAGTCTTGCAGTAATTCTTGCAATGTCCTATCCACCCCAACCACAGTGTTACCAATGCCAACTAAGATTTCTGGCAGGGTTGGCGACGGTCTTGATAGCTCAACAAAAGTAACCTTAACATTCAGGATACCTATTAGAATCAAGCCTCAATAGATGTAAAAAAAATTGAATCGACAAACTAGCAACTTCAATGTTATACAAGTAAAAGAAATTGAATTGACAAACTATCAACTTCAATGTTATACATGTAAGCATATCATGTGTACACAGGGTCCATTAGTCCATAAAGAATTTCCGGAAATAGAGATCAAAATGTAAAGGAATGTTGTGATATTCTCTTTAGGGTAAGTGTAACATTACAAATTTCCACTAGACTACAGAATGAACTCAATATTTCACGAAAACACCCATTTTTATTAAAACCTGTAAAAGGGTAAACTAAAAGGAGTTTTTTAACCAACCTCTCTACCCAGGGGATATATTAGCCTTCTGCTTTGCTATAGCAACAGCATGAGAAAACCCACCAATAGCATCAACTAAACCTCGTGAAACTGCTTCTTTACCAGTCCACACTCTCCCCTGTGCCACCTCCTCCATCTTATCTGCTTGCAACATAATGATTGGACAGTGATGAAGCGATTGAAAAAGTACTGCACTCCATTAGTATACGTTAATTGACTACCGTACAGTCATTGATCTTGAATATGCCGCCTTGTCTCTAAACTGTTTGTATGCATTCTGAGCAGACTTGGCAAAGAGTTCTACTTCATCAGGGCTACAAGACAAATTTGATTATTATTCACAAATCACAGTGCAACTTATGGAGCTGCTATATAGCTTTTTTTATTTTGAAAATTTGTGCCAGTGTGTTGGTTTGGCTGCTTCTGCTTACAGCTTTTGAGGCAAAAATAGCTGAAAATAAGCTAAAAAGAGCTGATAATTGGGAAGGAGGGGAAGAGGTGCTTTTAGCTTTTTTGCTTTGTGATTATAAGTTTTCATTTTACAAGAAGCAGCAGCAAACAGGCCCTGAAACAAACGCCTAACAGGAAAATACAGTCGAGAAATTAGGGGATTGAATTGACCTTGAAGACATCACTGTGAAGGTATAAATAATAGCAAAAATAAACCCACAATACAAAATTTTATTGTCAAATTTTGATGAAGATATGGGATCGTGGAATCAAGTCGATGCTTCCCTTTTTTGTTTCCAAAAAATACAAGCATCTGTATCCTCAGCAAATCAATCAGGCATCT